TAAGCACAAACACACAGGCCACAGTCTTCCCCACTACAGTGAGATGTACAGTGGTACCTCAGGTTACAGACGCTTCAGGTTACATACGCTTCAGGTTACAGACTCCGCTAACCCAGAAATAGTACCTCGGGTTAAGAACTTTGCTTCAGGATGAGAACAGAAATCGTGCTCCGGCGGCACGGTGGCAGCAGGAGGCCCCATTAGCTAAAGTGGTGCTTCAGGTTAAGAACGGTTTCAGGTTAAGAACGGACCTCCGGAACGAATTAAGTATGTAACCAGAGGTAAGGTAAGGTAAAGGTACCCCTGCCCGTACGGGCCAGTCTTGACAGACTCTAGGGTTGTGCGCCCATCTCACTCAAGAGGCCGGGGGCCAGCGCTGACCGGAGACACTTCCGGGTCACGTGGCCAGCGTGACATCGCTGCTCTGGCGAGCCAGAGCCGCACACGGAAACGCTGTTTACCTTCCTGCTAGTAAGCGGTCCCTATTTATCTACTTGCACCCGGGAGTGCTTTCGAACTGCTAGGTTGGCAGGCGCTGGGGCCGAACAACGGGAGCGCACCCCGCCGCGGGGATTCAAACCGCCGACCTTTCGATCGGCAAGCCCTAGGCACTGAGGCTTTTACCCACAGCGCCACCCGCGTCCCGTAACCAGAGGTACCACTGTATAATATTCCCATGTAGAATTATAGGGTGAACTAACACTTCAGTCATACTCAAGCTAATATAATATATCCAGCTAAGTCAGGGGTCAGCAAACTTTTTCAGCAGGGGGCTGGTCCACTGTCCCTCAGACCTTGTGGGGGGCCAGACTATATTTTGGAAAAAACAAACAAAAAAATGAATTCCTATGCCCCACAAATAACCCAGAGATGCATTTCAAATAAAAGGACACATTCTACTCATGTAAAAACACGCTCATTTCTGGACCGTCCGCGGGCCGGATTGAGAAGTCGATTGGGCCGGATCCAGCCCCTAGGCCTTAGTTTGCCTACCCACGAGATAAGTCATACATGGGGATATTACTCAAGGTAATATATATCCAGCTAAGTCTTTCAGGGAGGTTTTCAGGTTGCATGCTAGTACAGTGGTGCCTCGCAAGACGAAAATAATCCATTCCGTGAGTCTCTTCGTCTAGCGGTTTTTTCGTCTTGCGAAGCAACCCTATTAGCGGCTTAGTGGCTTAGCGCTATTAGCGGTTTAGCGGCTATTAAAGGCTTAGCGGCTAAAAGGCTATTAGCGGCTTAGCAGCTTAGAAAAAGGGGGGGGAGCGAAAAAAAATCGCAAGACTCGCAAGACGTTTTCGTCTTGCGAAGCAAGCCCATAGGGAAAATCGTCTTGCTACACAACTCAAAAACGGAAAACCCTTTTGTCTAGCGGGTTTTTCGTCTTGCGAGGCATTCGTCTTGCGGGGCACCACTGTACTTGGCTCAGGCTGGATAGCTTCATTGCTGGTTCTTGTTGCTTCAATGGGTGGTTGATGCACAAAAGCAGGGATTGGTCTTCACCACCATAGCATTTTTGAGTCTCTGTCTCTTGCACTTGCTAGCACCACTTTCAAATCTTTTACTCTTGCTCAGGTTAGAATCTAAAAATTAAAAAAATAAAAATCAACTGGATAAACTTGGTGGGCTTCTATCACTCTTCAGTAGCTGCCACCACTCACCGACTTCCCTATGCCTTTCTTGAGGGGCACTGAGACCCCTCTGGCTGACTCTTGGGGTTTGGAGATGAAAACCCCTTTGGGTTTTTCCTGGAGAGTTGGCACCTGCACATTTTTGGGCTTTCCCCCTCCCAGGACCCTTCTTAAGGCACTGGTAGTGGACAGAGCGGGGGAGACTCCGTGATCAGAGCACCAGACTAGGCTTTTAAACAAAGAATAAAGTTTTTATTGACTATTTACAAGTAACAGGATTTTAAACACAAAAAGGCACTTTAAACCAAACACAGAAAGGAAAACACCACCGGGCACAAATAAAATACTAAGACAAAAACCACAGTTCCTCTGTCCCTGAACTGATGCCTATACTTATTTTCCCCCGGGATGAGGTTCAGTTACCAACCTGCAGCCTGGCCTCCTGCCTTCTACAGGTAGTTCTGGATCCCTCCGAGGATCCCTTCCCACTGCTGCCTTCCCTGATCCCCAAGGCCTCTCTCTGCCTGTGGGCAATCTGCAGTGCATGCTGCAGGCACAGACAGGGCTCTGTGCAGCGTGAAACATAGACTTCCTTGCCTGGGGTGGGGGTGAGGCCAGTGCCAGTCACATGTGCTTGCCTTGCTCTGTTCAAGACAAGGAGGAGGGAAGGAATGGAAGGGACTTGGCAGAGCTTGCCTGCCTGGTCTATCTGCCCCAGCCGGCCCCCCACTCCGACTCTCCCACTGACCACTACAGACCTGACCCTTGAGGCTGTGCAGCTGGTTGTTGACTCTGGGCCTGCTAGCTCTGGAGTCCTGGAGTTTGTACTCTGAATAGTGGCACCAGGGACCTAAAGGGGCAGGACTTGTCCGTCCAACCGCTGCACAGTCTCATCAGGGCTGGCCTGAAGGTAGTTGGAGCAATGGGGCCAAACTGGGCCCTGCAGGCCGCTCCTAAGGGCCCCCCCTGCACCAGGGCAATCTAGATGGATTTTATTTATATCTCTAAGATTCTGCAGACTTGGGCTGTGAACTGGGGCCCCACAATTATTATTTTTTTAAGTTGGGCCCCAGAGTTCAAACTGGGTCCCACTGGCTGGCTCTGAGTCTTATAGTTGCTGGGCCTGAGTTGCCCTTGCGTGAAGTCTTGGGTTTGCAATTTTGGGAGAGGGGAGGCTGCCTGCTGGGGGGCAGGTGGGCTGGGGAGGCCCCCTAGATTTAGAGGCCCTAGGCTTCAGCCTACTTAGCCTATACATAAATCTGGCACTGAAGAAGAAGAAGAAGAAGAGAAGAGTTTGGATTTGATATCCCGCTTTATCACTACCCTAAGGAGTCTCAAAGCGGCTAACAATCTCCTTTTCCCTTCCTCCCCCACAACAAACACTCTGTGAGGTGAGTGGGGCTGAGAGACTTCAGAGAAGTGTGAACTGGCCCAAGGTCACCCAGCAGCTGCGTGTGGAGGAGCGGGGAAGCGAACCCGGTTCACCAGATTACGAGTCTACCGCTCTTAACCACTACACCACACTGGCTCTCCTTACTGCTTACAGTCCTTAAAGTTGCAACCCATGCCAGTGGCTCTGGCTGCCTTGTTCCTGAGCAGTCCCTCCCCACACAAGCATCCTCTCTGCCCCCACCCACCCACCTCCACAGCTGATCAGATCCAGGAGCATCCAGTCCAGGAAGAGAGGCCAGCTCCTGCCATGATGGAGCCTGAGTCTTGAAAGCAGTTAGAATCCCCACAGGAGGGGACTTGATGGAGTTACCCTCTTGCCTCAGGTTCAGTTGTGGTTTTGCTCTGCTTCCACAGTTGGAGGCAGCAGCGCTTCTGAATACCAGTTGCTGGAGACCACAAGAGGGAAGAGAGAGGGCACTTGCGCTCAAATCCTTCTTGCTGGTTTCCCACAGGCAGCTGTTCAGCCACTGTGAGAACAGGATGCTGGACTAGGTGGACCACTGGCCTGATCCAACAGGTGCTTCTGATGTTATTATGAAACCTTTGAGAGCTGCTGCCAGTCAGAGTGGACAATATTGAGGTACATGCACCAGCGTTCTGACTTGGCATAAGGCAGTTTCCTTTATAACTCCTGCCATGCAGTTGTCCTCTCACACAGCTGAGCTGATGACAGTTGGAATCATCACAAAGATAAATGCTATAATCCTGTAATGTTGGGATTCCATCCATGTTTGGGTCTAGTTCCTTTTACATCTACCAGCGCTGATGGAAAGAAGCAGAAAGGCTGCCACATGGAGGACGGAGCAAGCTTGCTTTCTCCTCCAGAGGGGAGAACCCAAATCAATGGATTCAAATGACAAGAGGGGAGATTCTGACTAAACATTAGGAAGAATTTTCTGACAGTAACAGCTGTTGGGCAGTGGAATGGACTCTCAGAAGATGGTGGGCTCTTCCTCATTTTAGGTTTTTTTTTTGCTAGCTGTTATTCCTGCATTGTAGGGGCATGGAAAAGATGACCCTATGGATCTCTTCCAACTCAACAGTGTTGATTCTAAGTTCTCTGTCCTGGACCTTCTGTACACTGACTGGCAGCAGCTATACAGGGTATCAGAATGCGGCAGCTAGACTGGTGATTGGGAGCGGCCGCCAAGACCATATAACACTGGTCCTGAAAGATCTTCATTGACTCCCAGTACGTTTCCGAGCACAGTTCAAAGTGTTGGTGCTGACCTTTAAAGCCCTAAACGGCCTCAGTCCAGTATACCTGAAAGAGCGTCCCTACCCCTATCGTTCAGCCTGGACACTGAGGTCCAGCGCCGAGGGCCTTCTGGCAGTTCCTTCACTGCAAGAAGCCAAGTTACAGGGAACCAGGCAGAGGGCCTTCTTGGTAGTGGCACCGGCCCTGTGGAACGCCCTCCCATCAGATGTCAAAGAGAAAAACAACTATCAGACTTTAAGAAGACATCTGAAGGCAGCCCTATTTAGGGAAGCTTTTAATGCTTGATGCATTATTATATTTTAATATTTTGTTGGAAGCCGCCCAGAGTGGCTGGGGAAGCCCAGCCAGATGGGTGGGGTATAGATAATAAATCATCATCATCATCATCATCATTAGGCAGTGTCTCTGTAACCCTGCCTGGAGATGCTGAGGACTGAGTCTGAGACCTTTGCATGTGAAACAAATGCTTTTGAAAGTCACAAGTGCAGGGTTTTGTTCTGTGCAGCTGAAAAAAAAGGAGGTGAGGAAAAGATGCTGAATAGGCCCCTCTGTGTGTGTGTTTCTGTGTGTCCGTGTAGGCGGGTGTTGTGCAATGACTGAGGAAATGTGAGCAAAATAGAAAGCAAGAGAAGTAGGGGAGGGTGTGGGAAAGGAAGGGAGGCTCAGTGCGGAAGGGAAAGCTTGATGAACGTTTACAACTTTTTGCACACTTCTCCTTCTAGCAGAAGCCTGACAGAAGAAGAACCTGAAAGATGGCTGAAAGCCAGAAGAAAGGAGGAGGCTTTAAAAGTAAGTAGCCGGCAGAGCAGCACACATTTGGACTCTGGTGCTTGCTTAAATCTGAGTGCCTTGGAGGCTGAGCCTGCAAAAGACATCAGGAAAGAGGGGTTGTGCAGGAGGTGTGTAAGGGTCGCTTCTCCCCAAACCTGTGTGGTGGCTAAGTTGCCAACTTTCCCCCCACCCACCAATAGGGCTCCTGTGCTTTTGAAAACCAGTGCATAGCATGTGGAAATCAACAAGAGAAGTTTTCACCCATCCTGGAAACGCTTGCTGCACCTGTTGCATTTTCACCTGTTTAAAGGCACAGGACTCCTGAAAAGCGGCTCAGAAACAAGAAAAGGCTGTATGAACGTAGGAATCTGCTTTATACGAAGCCTGGCCACTGGTCCATCTAGTTCAGCCTTGCCTACACCATGAGTGTCCCGTGTGGCACCTTCTAAATTCTGCTGCTTATGGCTCCCATCATCCCTTTGCTACTGGGGGTGATAAGGTCTGGAGTCCAGGAACATCTGGACAGCACCTGGTCTACACTGACTAGCGGAGGCTCTCCAGGTTTTCAGATGAGGCTCAGGGGCTGAACCTCGCAATTTCTGCTGGCAACACAGGTGCTCTGTCACTGAGTTGCACTCATTAAGGTTCCAGTCCTCATCAAGGCTGATGTAAATATGAACAAAGGAAGGCTGCTTTATACCAAATCAAACCAGAGCCAATCTAGTAGACTAGTGTTGTCTTCCCTGACTGGCAGTGGCTGCCCAGGGTTTTAGACGGAGAAGGAGATTTATCGGCTGCACCTGAAAATGCTGGAGATTGAACGGGGGACGTTTTGCATGCAACACTTTTGCTCTGCCGCTGAGCTGCAGTCCTTCTGTGAGAGGCGAGCCCATACTGTTTTGGGGCTATTGCAAATGTAACTCGAGCAAACTCATTGTATTTGACATGAGCAGGTGTCAGCTGCTAGCTCAAGAGACGATGCACAGGGGTCTGATGCCTTCATCTAGGAAGTGGGTAGATAATATATGAGCTGTCGTTTGCTTTCTTACAGTGGTCTAGATGCACCGCCACACACAGCTGACAGTCTCCACATTATGTCCGGTGGGGCGGGGCGGACAATGCATCCATGTCACTGTTAGACAGCAGCACACACTACAGCTCAGATATTATCTACCCATGCCCTGGATGAAGGCATCTCAGTCCACTGGACCTCATTGAGACAAAACTCCACAGCAGGTTCCTGTGTGCCTTATGCTACTTTCAGTGCCTTTCATATTTTTTTTTGGAGGGGGGAGCACATTTCCTGCTTCCTGCTTTAATGTGTGATCGACTTTTTGGAGTTAAAGTTTTTTGAACTCCATCAGAACAAACAGCAGATATAGTGCTGTGCAGATTTTGCAATAAACAGACAACAAATCCCTAAAGCTTCTTTGCCCAGGCAACCCACTTTCTGTGACTAATAAAAGCAGACCCTCCAAGTGCTCCTATTTTCCCGGGACAGTCCTGGGTTTACAGAAGCCGTCCGAGTTTCTGATTTAACCCACAATGTCCCGCTTTTCCTTAGGACACCCCTATTTTCATCGGAGAAATGTTGGGGCGTATGGAATAATGCAACCCCCAAACCAAATAAATAAGTAACTATACAACCTTTTATAAGACATCTGATGGCAGTCCTGTGTAGGGATTTGTGTCATATAAATGATAAAATTATTATAATGGAATAGGATGTTGCTATTTTCATTGGAGAAATGTTGGAGGGCATTTAAAAGTTGGCATGTACTGGGCCGGCAAGGGCAGGATTATGTGCACTTGCACAAGGCGTAGGAGCAAAGAAGCATGTTGCAGCCCAGCCTCAGCCTTCAAAAATTGATCCACCTCCTCTCCCTTTCAGTTTTTACCAGGTTTTATTGCCCTGCTCTTTCAAGGCTGTCTTGAGCTTCTTGAGGACTAGAAACTAAATAATGGGGCTAATCAGAGCAGAAGCTGAATTGTGGTCCCAAGGGCACCTGTTTCTGCAGAAATGCTGATCCCCTTAGCACAGATTGCACCAGCAGCTGGTAGGAGGTGGAAGATGTTAACATGCAATTACTGGAATAGCTAGCATGGAAAGAGACAGGGGTGCAGTTAATGGTTTATGGGGAAGGACGGGAGTCCCTTTTTAGAAGACAGTATGCATCTCTTCATGGCCTGCTGCACCTGGGGGGCTCCTCCTGCACCTCCTGCTGACCTCCCCCCCCCCAAAGACCTGCCCTGAGGCACAGCAGCTGCACTCGATGCCTCTGAACATCACTGCGGAGATTGAAGGAGTCACTCCTCGTGACTATATCGGCATGTAATCAGTTGTTCTCTGCAGCTGGGCCAAGAACCACACTTTTCCTTCGCAGCTGTTTGTGTTTTGCTGTGAGAAGAGGGAGGGCAGCGGCAGCAGGTGTCCCTTTGCATAGATTTCTGAGGCTGGTTGGCCTGGAAATTTCTTCCCAGCCCTCCCTGAGGGATTGTTTATGCCTGTGTCTCCACCCGACACAAACCAGTTTAACAGCACACCCCCCCCCAATCTCTCATCTCTTGCCAGTTTGGTCTCCCTTCTTAGGCTTCTTGATTCTGGTATCTCTCTTGCCCAGCTGAGTTCAGGGTGGAATGAAGCACTTCATGCCAGCAAGAGAATCACATTTATTTTACCGTTTCTGTACAAGCAACCCCAAAACACACATCCCCATAAGTAGAAAACTAGCATGGGAATGAACAGTGTGTTTAATTATTTACTTGCAGGGAGGTTTTTGAAATGTAGGGGATCAGTGGCGGAGGGACCCCCCTGTGGTGCAATTGTTCAGTGTGCCTGGCTGCTGGTTCAAGTCCACCCAGGGATGGCACTGGGCAGGATTCCTGTATTGCAAGGGGTTGATATAGATGACCCTCAGGGTCCCTTCCAACTCTATCATTCTATGATTCCTTTCCTGTAGTCAGAAACAACACAAGTCATTCTACCGCTTTAGGATTCTAATTCACTAGGAGGAATGAACAGACTGTCCCTGGTAAATAGGGAGAGTTAGTATATGAAATTGTGTTGTGGTCTTGTATATCCCCAAACACTGGTTTATTGCATTTCATATCCTACCTTTCTTCCCAAGAGCTCAACGTGGCATGTAAACTTCTCCCACCTTTCCCCATGTTTCATTCGTTCTGCCCGGACACTGAGGTCCAGCTCTGAGGCCTTCTGGCGGTTCCCTCGCTGTGAGAAGCCAAGTTACAGGGAACCAGGCAGAGGGCCTTCTCGGTAGTGGCACCTGCCCTGTGGAACACCCTCCCATCAGATGTCAAAGAGAAGAACAACTACCAGACTTTTAGAAGACATCTGAAGGCAGTCCTGTTTAGGGAAGCTTTTAATGTTTATTAGGTTATTGTATTTTAGTGTTCTGTTGGAAGCCGCCCAGAGTGGCTGGGGAAACCCAGCCAGATGGGCGGGGTATAAATAATAAATTATAATTATAATCCTCACAACAACCCTGTGATGTAAGTTAGGCTGAACAATAACAACTGGTCCAAGTTCACCCAATATTCCACACTGCATTAAAACAATACAAGTGTTAGCATTTTTTTTATTTATTAAAATGTTAACAAATGTTATGGGGAGGCTCCTATTGCTCTCAAGAGCAGATGTGCTGAAATCAATGGCCATGGCTAACTTAATTGATTTCGGTAGGCCTACTCTGAGTGGGGCTTACTTGGATACAACTCAGAGCGGTGGTGCCCGTTTCACTACTTGAGGTGAAACAGGAAGTCCCAGCCACTGCCACCACCCTGTGCCCTGCTGGGCGGCACCAAATTCAGGCAAGATCGTACCCAAATCTCACCCAAAATAGGAGCCAGTGGCAGTGGTGCTTCCCTGCCAGTGATGGGGTTGGTGGGGCAGGCCACAGGAATGCCACCTGGGGGCATGGGCATAGCCAGGAGGGCAACTGCCTTCCTAAACCAAGTAAATAAATAAAAATACTTATTTTCGGTAAAAATAATTCGGCTCTGCCCCCCTAACATAAAGCCTGCTCCCCTAACATCCCCCTAATCCTGGCTTTGCCCCTGTTTGGGGGGCTGCCTCACCCTGCCAAATGGCTGGGCCACCTCTGCCCCTTCCTTAAACCCTGGGGAGCTGCTGACAGTCAGTGTAGACAATACTGACCTAGACAAACCCCAGTGGTCTGACTCAGTATAAGGCCATTTCCTATGTCATTTGCTTCCTACGTTGCTATGACATGGACCCTGGTCTCCCAGGTTCTAATTGGTCCAAGGTGACCTAGGGAACTTTGAATGTGGGTCTTCCAAACCTCAATCCTAGTTTGATATTCTCATTGGCACTAACTAATACAGTGGTACCTCAGGTTACATACGCTTCAGGTTACAGACTCCGCTAACCCAGAAATAGTGCTTCAGGTTAAGAACTTTGCTTCCGGATGAGAACAGAAATCGGGCTCCGGCGGCACGGCAGCAGTGGGAGGCCCCATTAGCTAAAATGGTGCTTCAGGTTAAGAACAGTTTCAGGTTAAGAGCGGACCTCCGGAACGAATTAAGTACTTAACCCGAGGTACCACTGTACAGAGTCTTATGGAATGTGCCCTCTCAAAACCACCAACTGTCTCCTTGTTTTGTTTTCTCCCAGAATTATTTAGGTTTAAAGGATTTGGGAGCTTGAGTAGCATTCCACGGACGTTCACCTTGCGGCGTGTCTCTGTTGCCCCCAGCACTCCACAGGCCCCTGGAGGGGGGCTCCTGTCCTCAAATGGCTTCATGGCAACCACCATTGAAGGCACGCAGGACGACTTGAATACTGTTCCCAAAAGCCCGTCCCCATACGCTCGGTCATGCGACATGTACAGCCACATGGGGACTATGCCACGGGGCAGCTCCAGGAAGTCGAAGGCTAAGGCCAAAGACAAAGGCACGCCCAAGGAGAAGGATCAAGATGCAGGGTCACAAATTGGCCTGGCACCTTCTCCCCACAAAAACTCTCCTTTCGTAGCTAAGGAAGCAAAGCAGAAGCAAAAATTGCCTCCATCCAAAGCGGACCACAGTCAGGCCCACACCCAATATGTGAGGCCCACCACCATGGTCAACTCCTCAAACTCTTTTCCAGAGCACAGCCAAGCTTCTGCTGAAGGACTCCCAAAGGAAACAGTGAGGAGAAAGGAGGACTTTCTTCAGGTGCCTGGGAAGTCCTCCCCCAAGAGAGCGCAGGACGACTTGAATCCTGCACCCAAAAGCCCATCGCCACATGCCCGCTCATGCGATATGTCCAGCCACGTGGGGACCATTCCACGAAGCAGTTCTGGAAAGTTGAGGGGAAAGGCCAAAGGCAAAGGGGCCCCTCAGGAGGCTGAGCCAACCACCGCCCCAGAGCCCAGCTTGATAGCTGTGGCACCTTCTCCCAGAAAAGATACCCCTATGATAGCTGAGGACGCAGAGCAGAAAGCAAAAATGCCCCCATCTGAACCCAAACACAGCCAGGCCTGCTCCCAAACCATGAGGCAGGCTGTCGCGATCAACACCTCAGACTCTCTTCCTGAGCCCAGGCAGACTTCTGAGGGACCCAAAGAGAAGACGAAGAGGAACAAGCAGGACTCTCCCCATATGCCCAGGAAGCTCAGCTCTGAAACTGTGCGGGACGACTTGAATACTGTGCCAAAAAGCCCGTCCCCATATGCCTACTCAGGCGATATGCACAGCCACATAGGGACCTTGCCAAGAGCCAACTCTGGGTGCTCAAGGAGGCAGTCCAAAGAGGAATCAGTGAGGTGTGAGCAGGATTCTGTTCAGGTCCCTCGAAAAGCTGCCAATACGGAAGCTCCCAAAGAACCTATCCTGTCTGGAGGGCGAGCGCCTGGAGAGGAAGCCCTTCGAGAACACTTAGACAAGAGGTAAGGCAAGAGAAATAATCTGTGGCTGAAGAACTGCATTCAAGGAACAGTGTTGGTGTGAACGCTGCAGCACTCAGGTTGTATTTCTCTTGGACAGGGGCTGCCAAAGTGGCTCCTTCCACATGTGACTGGCTTCTGTCTCTCATCAGCCCCAGCCAGCATGGCCAATAACAGGATTGTGGGAGTCGTAGCCCAAAAACACCTAGGGGCACTACATTGGCTAGCCCTGTTGTGGGGCAAAACAGAAGCAGGTAACCTCCAAAGGCAGAAAGTGCTGTTTGAAAGCTCACCATACACTCAGATAATAGGGAAGGGGCTTAGTTTTTGCAGATCTTTTTCCTGGCTTTAGAAGTGGGCACTGTTACAATATCAGGATGCAGTAGATTAGATCTTAGCGTGTGTGTCCGCAGTGGCACACCTTCACTGCATGCTGTGTTTTTGAATGCTGCAGTTCAGTTCTTGTGAGTCTGTGGTGCATTCAGTTCACTCCTTTGCTGTTCTCGGGGACAGAATATTACTTAAGATGGGAGCTACCATGTTTGTTGTTACAATTTTTGTCCTGTACAGTGGTACCTCTGGCTGCAAACAGGATCCGTTCCGGAGGCCCGTTCACAACATGAAAGGAATGCAACCCGCAGCAGTGCGTCTGCACACGCACGGGTTGCGATTCGCTGCTTCTGCACATGCGCGTGATGGCATTTTGCATGTCTGCGCATGCGCGAGCGGCGAAACATGGAAGTAACCCTTTCCGGTACTTCCGGGTCGCCACGGGATGCAACCTGAAAAAACATAAAATGAAGCAAACGTAACATGAGGTATGACTGTACATGTTTAAAGCATGGGGTGGCTGTAATTTTTTTCTTTTCAAAAGTGGGCACAGGTGAGGAAAGCTGAACCTCTTTCCCACCTTCCTTCCCTTCCCATCCATCACCTCAGACGTTTTCCTTTCAGGCCAGCTCTGATATTGGAAAACTGCCTCAGGGGTCGGGAGGTGATTGGGGAGGAGACACCCAAACCTCTTTTATTATAAAAACCCTGTCCCCTGCCCATACCTGCACATTTGTCACTGGTGGAGAAGCGGCAGAGTGGCACCAATTTTCGGCAATATCTCACTGAAATTGCAAGAAATCCTGAGCACTCTGAAACATTTCAACCAATAATGGAGCCACTTCTGCACCAGTGTTGGTGCAGGTGGGGTGGGGGGCTGCCGCCCTGGGGGTTTCAGCTGCCTGTGGCAGCCCCCTCAATCCGTTTAATGGCTTAGCTTGCTCTGGAACTAAGTGGCATAAACTGGAAGTAGAATATAAAACTGGGGGAAAGGTACTGATTAGGAGCCAATCACTCCAGATACCAATGGCATATATTTGAAGGAACTGTGTGAGAATTGGCTGGTATAGACAGGGCAGTCTTAAGCATATCCGACGCCGTGGTGCTATCTTCCTGCGGAGGCTTGGGAAGGAAGCTGCACGCTCGCGAGCCATATAGTTTGCAGGGCGCAGCTGGCGGGCGTGCAGGGGAAAGGAAGGCTGCTGGCAAAGCCACGCAGCTCCCCCACTCGCTAGTGCGCCCCAAGAGGCCGGTGCCCTGGCGCAACGAACCACTAACACCAATGGGGAAGACGGCTCTGGGTATAGATGAATATGCTCATAAAAGATGGGTAAGAACATAGCTCAGTAGCAGAGAACATGCTTTGCCTGCAAAAGCTGTCAGGTTCAATCCCTGACGCAGGGCTGGGAGACGCCCCAGCTGAAACCCTGGATTACTGCTGGAAATCAGGGTTGACAGTGCTAAGCTGGGCAGACCAATGCTGTGACTTGGTATACTTGACTTGGTCCCTACATGATGGAAACAGAGTTAACATCAGGGCTGACTTTTCTTTATTTCAAACTGCCCTTCATCAAAACAGATTCTGTGGTGGTGTGTAAAACAACAGAGATAATATTTTTGGTAGTGTGTAGAATGTGGATTTCTTATCATTCATGCCCAGATGTCAGATTATGAGACAAATATGGACCGTGCATCCTGAAGCCAGAGTTGTGAGTGCTTCTGTAATACTTATCATGAGCCGGGAATCGCAAATGTTGTTCACTGGAGATTCAGGGGCCAAGCTTATTCTGTGTGATTTCTGGATGGTTCTTATTTTCTACATAACTGACTGTAAGAGGTAGGTGTGTGACAATGGTGTGTCCGGACTCCTTCGTGGTATGTGCTTTGCGTGTATTCATTTTGCACAAGGTTTGTGCAGAGGTCACACGATGTCTGCTCCTCATCAAGCATTCAGTGCTCCATGCTCTAGTAACTTTCAGATTGGATTGTTGCAGAGCACTCTGCATGGGGCTATCCTTGAGGACAACTCAGAAACTTCAACTGGATTAAAATGCAGTGGCTAGATCAGGGGTCCCCAAACTAAGGCCTGCGGGCCGGATAAGGCCCAAGAGACTCGTTTAACCGGCCCACGGCGACCCTCGCCACCCGCTGCCCCCGCCCTCTCTTACTGGCACTGCGCTGCGTGGCTGCCCACTTCTGGGTTGGAGGAGCACCGGAAATAGCTTGTGCACATGCACAAGCATTATTTGCGCATGTGCAGGTGTTATTTCCGGTGCACATCCGGGTTGGAGGAGGCTCATGCACATGCACACAAGCTATTTCCAGTGCTCCTCCGAACCAGAAGTGCGCTGGAAATAGCGTGTGCACACACGTATGGGCACACGCTCCCCTGCCCTCCACGCAATCGGTACTGGAGACACCGGCCCGAGGCGTGGTAAGTTTGCTGACCTCTGAGCTAGATTATTGGCTTGAGTTGCCTTTAGAACCCATAGAACCCTGTTCTAAAACAGCGGCATTGACTACCAGTTGAGTTCCATGCCCAATTTAAAGTGCTCCTGTTAGTGCTTAAAGCCCTAAATGACTAAGGCGGCCCCAAATACCTGAAAGACAGCCTCCTTCCCTACAGTTTCTCCCAGGTTTTAAGATCAACAGAGGGAACCCCCTTGGTAGGTCCACCTCCCTTGGAAGTCTGGGGCTAGATGGAATTCCCGGTGTGAGAGACATATCTGTCTTCTTCACAATACAGCTTCCTTGAATACTGAACATGCACCTCTTTACCCCGGTGTTTGGATCTGAGAGGTGCATTTTCAGGGACTGCCCTATTCCTGTAATTGTAATTATGTTTTAATTGTTTTTAATTTTTAATTTTAAGTTGTTGTAACCTTCCCTGGGACCAGCAGGTGAAGGGAGATAATAAATTTGATGAGGAGGAAGATTATGGTAATTTTTTCCTGATTTGTTTGCATGAATGTTTGTATGCCTCCCCACCAATCAATTATTATCCAGCATTTTGAGTTCATTTCCCCATCCCATTCATAACCAGAAAAAGTTTTGGGTTTTTTTAATTTTGTTTTTTAAAAGATTGATTTATCATGGATAGGGTCGTCAGGGGATTTTGACAGAAAAAGGAGTGAGCATTGTTGGTGTTTGCTTATTTGTCCCATGTCTGGAAGGAAAGTAGTCCAGTGAATATGATCCATAGTCACTGTTTTCTGTCATCATAATGATATGCCCATTAATTGCTCCCCCATTTGCATTATGTTTCCTTTGCAGTGAAATGAATAGTGTGGAATAATGTAGTTATAACATAGTTAATTATGCAATCAATTACATAAAATTCCACCATAGTGAACAGAGAGACGAATAACGTAGGTTTTTTGTTGTCAGAAGTCAAACTGCAGCAGAAACAGAAACAATGGCATGTGCAGCAAATATGAATGGAAATTATGCCTTCTTGCATCCCTAGTTATGCCAGTGCTTTGATATATTTTAATTACACAAGGTTAAATTTAACTGTGCAAAGTTTGTGTGTGTGTGTGTGCATGTTTAAAAAGGGTAGGAAGGGGCAGTAGATGCAGAGACCCCTGCTCACCCCCTAACAACACCCATTACTTTTTAATACGCTCCTGTCCTGCAGCAAACTATCATAACATGCCCCTTCCTAACAGCTCTCTCAGAGAGACAGACAGTTTGAGGTTTGTTTTCTCAAGGCGGTTCATGTTATGGAAAAGCCTCCACGCAGGCAGCAGATGCCAGAAGTGTGCTAATGAAGAGGAATTTCTCTCAGTTCTCAGGCCTCTGCTTGGCTCTGCATTCCAGGGAGGGAGGGAGGAAGGAAGGACATGGGCTTTGGGGAGGAGAGACAGAGACCAAGAGGGAGGGACTCCTGTTCACACTTCCACAAGTTCACTGCCGGCAGAGCGAGAGACCAGAGCGGCTGAGAAACCTGCGCGGTCAAGACAGTGAGGGAGAAAAGCATATTTTCCTCTCGAGGTTCAACAGCACAGGACAGATGATGACAGAAGTGGGCAGGCGATATCACACCAGGTAAGTAAGACCAGCCATCCTGAGAAGGAAGAGGGAGTTGGTCAGACTTGGAATATAGGAACATGGGAAGCTGCCTTATGGACCTCTTCCACTTGTCATTGTCCACACGGACCGGCAAAATCCCTCCAGCATTTCTAGCGGAAAAGGGCCTTTCCTAGTCCTACCCAGAGATGCTGGGGATTCACGGGGTATTGGGCATGTAAAGGATGTGGTCTGGCTGCCACTGAGCTACGTAGCACCCCCACTTAGTGACATAGGCAACCGCGTTCCTGTTTGCCCTGCATCCAGTGCACTCCCACCGCTGGCTCAAGAAGATGTATATATACAATGTTAGTTGCAGCCCATATCTATCCTGTTTTCATTGGGTTTTTTTAAATGAATTACAGCATTTTGATGCATTTCCCCACGATTCAGTTTCACTCTGAACTGGACAAAAGAACAACCTAGCTGTGTTTAAAGCCAGGGATATAACCCGAGTCAGACCACTGTCCCACCTAGCTCAATATCGTCTTCTGTTCTACAGCTCTCTAAAGTTTCTAACAGGGGTCTCTTCTACAGAGGCCACAGACTGAACTTGCAAAGTATGTGGGCTGCTGTACCGGTGAGCTTCCGCCTGTCCCCATTTA